TCATCAAAAGTACAAGAACGGATGGATAAATGGGATACTGATTCTATTATACAAAAATGGGTATGTAAAGTATTAAATTAATTTGTATTTTGTTTTATATATTTATTTTTTTCCTTATTTTAATCAAACATTTTAAATTTTAGCTTAATAAAAAAAATAACAATAATGAAATTAATAGTGAATATAATAGTGAATTAGACGAAAATGAAATTTTGCAAGAAGCCGAATAATAAAATTTGGAAAATGTGGTAAAACTGGCATAATATTATTATTTAGATAATTTGAGTTGTTATGATATAATGTAATAATATAATATTATTATGTAAAGCAGTAAATAAAAATAATAAAATATCGCACTGTTCGTAGCAATTTTTTGTGCAATGTTACAGGCTGATTTAACGCACTGTTCTGTGTTGCCTTCACAGAATCATGTGATTTTACGCTGATCTGTGCTGACATAAAACAATGCACTGTTTCACGTGCACTTAATTTCCTGATGCTGAAAATGCATTTTAATATATTCAAATATACTTTTTAATATATAATATATCCGTTTATTATACTTAAACTAAAGTAGAAATTAATAATAAAATAAATATAAAATATTTACACTTAAAATATACTTAAACGGGCAAAATTTAAGGATGTTTTGTAAGTTATTTCCATATCAAAAACAATATATTTAAACATATTTTCAGTATTAATTATGTATATAATTAACTTATAAAAAATATACCCAAATTATACTTAAATAATACATTTATTAAACTTTATATATTATTAAAATTCAGTATATTTTAAGTATATTTTCAGTATACAATTTTTCTTACTGGGAATATAAATTAAAATCATTTATTGTATTCACCTTTCTTCCCAATACTTTTCCTAACTCCTTACAAGTTTCCGCTTTACTATCAGGATAAATTGATACAATTTTTAGATTTTTTTGAGAATCAATTAAAGAAATTAATCCTGAATTATCTTGAGAACAATTATGAATAATTAATTCATTTAAATAAATACAAAAATTGCCATTTCATAAAGTGTGTTAGGTAATATATAACTAATTGTAATAGATAATTTATTAACATTATAAAAGAATGTTGAAGCTCCCAGAAATAATGATAAAGGTTGTGATGTATATAAATCTATTTCTTTAATATTTTTACATTCTTTAACAAATAATTTGTAAATTTCTTATTCTAAAAGTTTTCTTTTATCATCTTTCAATTTTTATCCTATAAAACTTTTATTATAATTCCATACATCTATAGTCCTAGATTCAAGAATTTTACAAAAACTAATATAATTAAATGTTAATGGTTTTGAAATAATTGTTAAGGTAATTTAATATTATTATCACTTAAAAATTGTTTTGATGATGATGATAGAGATTATTATAAAACTTCTTTTCTGCTTCATGATAAAAATCCCATGTATGTTTTTCCCATAATATAGGAACAACTAAAAGACACCACCTTTTATTAACTAAAAGGCATGAATATAAAGTTTCTTTATCTTTTCATAATTCGTTAAAAATAAGATTAAGACAATCAATATTTAATACTGCCATATTATATTACATTTGTTCAAAAAAATTCCGTATTATTTCCGATGTACTGATCTGCAATGAAAAATTCCAACCATAGGTAATTTAAAGCGGAGTAGTTTTGGCCAGCATTGCGGCATTAAGAAATTACACTTGTGACAAATAAGGTGTATGACAAATAGGTTTCCACTAACTGAAAAAATACTGTACCCGAAATACCTACTAAAAAAAAGAAAAGAAAAATGGGGTGTGATTCATAATCATGTAGTTCTATCCGTTGTAAACATAAAAGAAAGATACAAAATTAAACTTGTTTATTTTCTCACATTAAGATTATAAGAAACATTCTTATCAGCATTTTTCTCCAAAAAATTTAGTGGACAAATAGTTCTATTTCTACTAACAAATAAGGTAGGATTATGAGTAAGTCCTTGTTTAACAGTATAATTTTAATAATGTAAACAATCATGATGCATCATAAAAAATATAGTCCGAAAATTAATAATCCAGAATTTCTCCCTATAAATAAAGTCAATCAGTGTTTATATTCCATCATTTTTCCGTAAAGGCTAATATTTCTGGAATTAATAACCTTATATACTGTATATGACGGAATTTATCGAATTATTTACATTTTCCGTGAATGGATCCGTAAAAGGCTCATTTTTACAGAGTTTTTACAGAAATAATGGATAAAATTTTTTATAAGGCCTAATTTTAGTTAATGCATGAAGGTATATTCTATTTTAAATTTTATTTTTTTTAGTAACTCATACAATTTTCCTTCTCTTCCTTCTATTCACTTATATCATAATTCCCTTTCTTGAATAAAACTTCCCCTGCTCATTATTCCCCTTTATATTTGTATCCCCTTTTTACAAAAACAATTTTTTGTAATACTTATAATTTATTTGTAATACGTGATTTATATTTACAATATTTACGGAGAATCATAATAAGCGACAGACTTCGACTTCAACTGTTTCTGTTTACCTAGTATAGTTTGTGACTTCCAATTAATTGTCAAATAGTAGGTGTTAACATTAAATTGAATATTTTAACAGATTATTTTCTATATAGCTCATCTCTTGCTACTTATATTTACCATATGTTAAAACATAAACTTTGTATTACATTTGATTTCTTTTAGTTTATGTTATATGTTTAATTTCTTAATAATATATGTTTGATAAACTATGCATGTTAGGGTTATATTTACCTAATCATATGTTATTGGCAAAAAGGTTTTTTGACGTTACAAAATTTAAAATTGATTAAAAACAATCATTTCACATAATTTTAATCGAGTCAATAAAATTTTCCTTTCTTTGCAATTAAATAAATTCAATTGAGAAAATTTAAAATACTGTTTCAAATTTTAAAATCTTGACCAATTTCTTTTTCTGTAATTTAGACGTAAGATGATTTAAGCAATTATAATTTAGTTGGCTATATGAGTAATTCAATTTGTTGTAAAAATGTAATAATAAATATTATATATTATGATTACAATTAGTAAACAAAAAATAATTAGATTTTCTTACAAAGTATAAAAATAATATGATTTTTAATATTAGTAAATACAACTGACGTATTACACTTTTGAAGATATATTTTCATTTAATCTACAAAAGATTATTTCATAATAATATCACCTGGTTAAATCTTTAGATCTATAAACATATTCTCAATTTTCAAGTGTAAAGGAAATGACATCATATATCGGTACAAATTAGGTTCAAATAATTGTATTCTCAATATACTAGAAATATTTTTAGATGAGTTAGTAAATATTCATATTTTTAAATACTTATATTATTCATTTAATAAAATGATTTAATTCAAAATTCTTGTTATTGAATTTTAGTTACTAAAATCAAATCAATATATATCATATTATTAGAATTCATGGTGTTTAATAATCTTAAATTAGGTGAAAAATTACGTGGAATAAATTATTTTATGGAAATTTTCAGAAGGTTGTTTATATTAATGTATTTTTATTATAAATACTTATGATGATTTCTAATTCACATATAAGATATTTATAATGGTAACATATTATATACATTGCACCAGAAATGTCTAAAGGGTCTTCATTTTCTAAAGAATCTGATGTTTATAGTATGAGAATGATTATGTGGGAAATTGCAACAGGCTGTAAGCCATTTGCTAATTTTGAACATGATATTAATCTCATTTTGAAATTCTTGATGAAAAATGATCTGAAATTACTGAAGATAAACCAGAAAGTTATGTAAATTAAATGAAAATTTGTTGAGATCCTGATTCCAAAAAAGGCCAACAAATAAAATTCTGTAGTGCTTGCAGTAGTTGATCTTTCAAAATAAAGATAATGAAATATTCAATAAAGCAAAGAATGGAAATTATTAAAATCAGAAAAGCTTGGTTCTGCGCTCGCTAAATACCTAATCCAAGCCATTTACACGAGTAGACAATCATTTCTAAATGATCATCTATTAATTCCTTCAAAGAGGAAAATTATTAAATAGTAATGCAGAAGTGAAGATTGATAGGATTTAGTTATGCGACAATACTAATATTTATTGCACATTTTTCTGTGACATTTATTAGATTTTTCGTAAGTTTTATATTTGAATAATTTATTTTTAATTCCCTTTATATAATAATTCAGCATACAATACAATCAAAGAAATAAATTTTATGTTTATGTCCTATTATACTTTAAAACAACTGGAGCCATGAGTAAAAAATATAAAACTATAAGTAATGTATTAAAATAACGAACACTTAAAGAAAATTAAAGGGTAGAACACACAAAAATTCTGGTAACAAAAAAAAAAAAGAATAAAATTTTAGATAATCGACTAAAAAAATTTAACTTCATATAATTTACACACTCTCCCAATTTAGGTATGTATAAGTGACATCATGAAGTACATTATAAAGTAATAAAACAAACTTGCAGATTAACATTTAATTTCTAATTTTATTTTGATTTTTTACATAAGCATTATAATGGTTTAAGAATAGGTCGAGCGCAAACATTTAAAAAAAATAAAAATAGATAATTTTATAAAATTGTCATAGTTTAAAATACTTTTAAAATATCCATAGCAGATGAATATTATTTTATTTGCATTTTGTTTTATTAAAGTATACTTAAATTCTAATAAATAATACATACTAAAATTACTATGGGTTTTTACATCTATTCTATGTTCAGTATGTTGAATAATTTATAGTCTATCATGTGATTTTTAGTATTATAAACATTTTTGGATAATGAAAATTATGAAAAAAATCATTCGTTTAATGTGAAGTAACCATTATCGCCATTAAGATGTGAGTGATTGGTACTGAAATGGTCATTTTAATAAGCATGGTAAACCCAGTAATGATAGAATAACATGCGGTACATATCTACCCATGATGAGAAAAGATGGTCGAAAATTATGAAATATAAATCTTACTGAGACCCTTTTACTTGGTAGGATTTGCATGCCAAACAATTTCCAATTCTTTCAAAATTGGCAACGGCTTCTGAAAGATTATTTAGCAATGCAGGTAATTTGATATCTGTAAAGAGAACTCGTATTGCTCCAGAACTCTTTAAAAGTATAATGTTGCTTAAAAGGAATATGGGCTTATATCAAAATATTCGTCCCGCTTATTTTTTCTCTTACATATTGTAAAAATAATTTTTACTAGATAAAAGATTTAGCTTATATTAAATATAAAAACTGCTCTTATAAATCAATCATATTTACATAATTACAACAATTACTAAATGTGGAGTTTATCATGATAAATCAACAGTTACATCATAAACAGATTAAATATACAACCTATGACAAAAAAATTGCACAAACTCACAAATGCAAACTATCTGTCGGTATCTAAATTTTCCTATTGTCATATCTTTTTTTGTAATATTTTCCCACAAAATTGATCCGAAAAATTCGATAATCACTTTTTCATCCATGTATTTTTTTATAATGTTTACATGTTTATATGTAATATTTTCAAAATTATCACTATTATAAGTGATTCCAAAAAAATATAATTTTCGTTTCCTACAACTTTTAAAAAATCTTTCAAAAGCATCAACAGAATATTTACAACCTGCACTAATTACAATTAAAAAAGACTTTGGTGAAAATTTTGTTAATATATCTAATAAATTATCACCTATATTATCATTTTCATCATTCATATTCGTAAATAATCTAAACTGTTTAATCCTAAATATATTAAATTTTTACAATTCAATAACAATGATTTAACATAATCGAAATCTTCAGGTACAAGATATGTTGATAATTGTTCAATATTTGAACAATTATTAGCTATTGCTTTAATAAATATTCCTGTATTTTCAGCAACAGTATAAATATTGACTTGTGAAATATCTCCTCTTGTTTTTTCAACTAAAGTTGCAGATTCTTTAAAACATGATAATCCATTAAGACAAAGAAAGAATTTGAAATAGATAATTTTGAAATTCTTCTTTAGTATCTTCATCACTATCATAATCACTATAAATTGTTATTTTTTTAGTGATGTTAAGAATGAAGGCGGAATAATTCTAACTGAACGTAAATTAAGTTTATTAATCGTATTTCCTTTCCTTGCTAATGCTTCGCTTAATTCTTTACAAGTAGGGCCTTTCTTAATATGAAATTCGAATGATACACTTTTTAACTTTCTTTGTACATCAACTAAAGAGATTAATCCAGAAATTTTTTCTTGAGGATAATCATGAATAATTAATACGTTAAATCTTTACAAAGTTGTGACATCTTATAAAGCAAATCAGTATCAACTTTATCAATTTCAATACTCAAACCATGAAGTTGAGAAAAACATGTTGAGGCTCCTGGGAATGATAATAAAGGTTGTAAGGTTCTCCATTATAATCCTTTAATATCATTACATTGACTAATGTATAATTTGTATAACTCTTGTTCTAAATATTTGTATTTTCCATAACTTCCAGTTATAAATATTTCACCAGATACCATTTCTATAATTTCTTTAATAAGTTTAGATTTCAGAAATTTACAATAAATAATATAATTAAATGAAGGTGGTTTTAAAAGAATTGTTGAGGGTAATTTAATACCATTATCAAATAAAAGTTGTTTAAGTATTATATTAAAAAATTTTTCTTTTGATTTATTTTCTTTTAATTTATCATTAATTTTCTGTAGATAATTTTATGATTAAAGGCAGTGGTCAAAATTTAGAAATTATGAATTTTGGTATTTACGTTGCATTCAAAATAAGAAATAGAAGCGATACTAGTTTCTTTGGAATTGATACAAGGATCTATACGTACTATAAGAGAAATTTTAAAAATCCAAAATTTTATTATTTCAAAGTCAATTTTCATAATTTTTATTGTTTTTTTTTTAGAAAGTTCTCAGCTTTACAAAAACAGCTTTCTCTAATGTTGTTAGAAAAACCTCCCCTAGTCTTTAATATCAAAATTTTATTGCTTTTAGCAAAAATTCATCAAGTACTTATTATTAAGAATTCTTATAATAGTAATTGATACATTCATTTCCTCTAATACCATTAATATAAATTATTGTTCATAAATAGTTAATTTACAATGTAAACTTAGAAAAATCAAGATTTTCCTTATTAAAATAGATAATTGTTAAAATAGTTTAGAAATGGTTAATATTTGAGAAATTACTTGTCACGAGAAGGTATATTCACTTGAGAAGGTATATTCAAGAAGGAATATTTATACTTATTTTGATATGACGAAATAAATGAAAAGTAAAAAAAAGTATATTACATAATAAATCATTAATGGTAACCATATTAAAATATATGATTGCTCAATATTACTAATATGTTTTGGATACCTATCGAATGATTATGTAATTGTCGTGTCACAATTATTAAAATTATTTCATGGGTGTACTTTATACATTGCGATTATTTTTTTGTGGAAACTTGGTCACACTATGTGCTAATTAATACGAGGCGAAGTAAAAAATTTAGTAAGTTACGCTCGCGAAACAGTATTAAAAATGTTTGGAACTCTGATAGAATTCGTAATGATCGATTAATTAAAGGTAAAAGAAATGAAGTAAGGAAGATATAATTGAAGATAAAAAATGAAAACGGCGTATCTGAAAAAATGCATCAACTCGCTTTTCCAGTTAATGAAATTGGAACTTCTACCAAACAAGAAATACTTGAACTTCGATTCCTGTTGAATGATAATGTTATATGGATTTAGATTAATAAGTGCTAGATTAATAATTTATTTTAGCTACTCCTCTTATTTATTGTATATTCATATGTAAATTTCATATTTTTTAATTATATTTTCAATGATCGATTTTCTTCATTAATTTCGTTTAATTTCGTTTAAAGAGGTTGTAATTTTAAAATTCGTATTGATTATATGTAGTTTAAGACAAAAGATAAATCCTTAGACATAAATTAAATGTTTTCGTTTTATTTAATGTAAAGTTACGCCGATATAAGAGTATTTATACAATTAGATATTCAGGTATGATATCTTTATTATATCAAATAATTTAAAATGACATTCTCTTTGATACTTTAAGCTCAAATACATAACTTATGAAGTTAACAATGTAACGTTGATTGATTGTGTGATTAAGAAATGCGAATTTTGCTTTTTAGTCTTACCGTTAATAGGATAAAATGTTATTTTTTTATCCATTTATTTTAAATTCATTTCATATTACAAAAATTGATCCAAGTAAATTAAGTAGTGAAAGTACTTTTGAGTTTTGAGTTTAAATCTTCATATTATGCCATATAAGTTATTATCATAAACCCTTCTTTAACCTTTATAGAGCATAATAAGTAGTGGCAAATTGATAATTATTATTCACATGATAGTGTAATAATATAATTGGTAGATGCCATTGAATCGTAAAAAAAAATGTCCTAGTAGTTGTAAAAATATAAATAAATGAAATAGTAACAAATATAACTTTTTCTAAAGAAATAAATCAAAATAATTGTAAACTAAATTCAAGAAGATAAAATGATTCTTAAGTTTTGCACGTGGTTGGTCAAGGATTAATCTATTCCATATTTTGCATATTATCAGAAATATTCACAAATAGTCATATTCAAATAAATTTGAGTCCTTACATTATAATGACATAAAATTGAAATTCGGGAATAATGTCACGATTTAATGGTCGAATGTTCACCGATGGATAGATACGTGCATCATTTGGTAAATGCAAATGTATTATTTTGAGTCATAAAAGTTGTCATTAATGTGAAAGGTGTTTAAATTCGTATTAGATATTCCTATGTTATCTATGTTGTTAATTAAAGTATACTGTATTGGATGTTTTCATCTCCATTATAAAAAAGGCGAAGCTAATTTCAATTCGAACTAGAATAACCTTTTATGGTATAATCATTATTTAAATTCATATTTACCAAAATCGTTTTAAAGATTTTCCTTTTTCTTTATGTTGAAAATTCACAATTTATTTAATTTTTTCTCATCAAATTAATTAAGCAACTTGTCAATTTGGTTTAAAAAAAAAATCAGTGGTAAACTTGGCGTAAAATGGTTTCTATAATTGGGTTAACTGGGAAGTGGGAGCGTGGAAAAAAATAGACAAAGTTCGTACACTATGAAAATTAAGGTACTAAGTACAAAGCAACAGTCATTCCTTTTGTAATGATCTTTGATTATACCATACAATTTTTATCAAAGAAGCTGATGAAATATCATCATATAATGATGAAGACAAAATAGAAATATTAGAAGAATTGAATAAAGAAAATACTAGTATGGACGAGCCATTTGACGAAGATACAGTAGTTACAGATGAAGAAACAGGTACAAAAATTGATGATGATTTGGATGTTAAGAAATTCAAAGTAACTTTCTCTTTCTTGTTTAATTATAAGTCTAAAGGAAATTTCTGGTAAAGTAGTGCAGCAAAATGGGAAAATATTAGTCAAACTATTTTTAAAAATTTTAAGAAAGAATTAACCTTTTAATACAAAATCAAATTGGATGAGTAGGTAGGATATGATGATTATATTGTTAACTATAGGTTAAGAAAGGAAGCAGGTTCTGTAATTCAATAATTAACGGACATGATAGATTTTTAACTGAATTTCATAAATCCCATTCGAAAAAAAATTCTCACATCTATCAAATCATGAAAAAAATAATTCATAAATTGACAGAAGGAGGTAAATTAATGAGTCCTTTTCTATCATGTTTAATAATAAATCTACGATAAACAATAAACCTCCTAGAAACCAGCACAACAACCAAAAAATTTTTTTTTATCTTATCTTTACCATTTTACAATTATCTCTCCACACAATCTCAACCAATTTTTAATTTCAGTTCTCAATCTTCTACAATTTTTCCATCATCTGGTAGTAAACTTATTCCAACTATCAAGAGCTTTCGGAGAATTTGGATAATATAAATGGAAGCCAAAAGAATACCTGCTTTTTAGAAAAATGATCTATAGATGTTTTGGATATTCAAATCTTATCTTGATAGTGATTTTGTGAAATTAGGTATTAGTAGTATTGGAGTAAAAATAAAACTTTTTAGAGAAACAAAAATCATGAAATAAATCAAATTAAATATTTAATCCATATTTTTACGGGTGAATATGGTGAAAAATCAACATTTTACAACTACTTCTTTCGATCTTCATCATCATGGTTTATTTTGACGTTATCCATTCTATTTTCGTTAGGATAAGGATTCATTAAAAGTACTATTAAAATTCAAATGTAAAATAGTTACACAAATGTATACCATAAATCGACCACCATACATACTATGTATAGAAACAGTACAGTACATGTTTACGTTACCTAAAAAGAAATCAATTTTATTATTTTTATCACCTATACAGTGATGGGCATTGGAAGTTCTTTTGGAAAGATTGGAAGTATTGGAAGATTCCGAACTTCCATTGTTCTATGGGCATTGAAAACTTCCAATCAAATTTTTTGGAACGTTGGACATAGTTATTGGAGGCTTCCAATGACCAATGGAAGCTTCCAATTCTTCCAATACCAAAATTAGCAATTTGCAGATTTTTATTTATAAATTATAGTAATGCAACATATCTTTACTTTACGCGTTTTTTTTTTTTAAAAAAAAAATCCGATAATTTTTTTGTCTAATTTACGTAAATAAATTTTTTTTTTTAATAATGAAGAGACTTAGAAATCATCGCCTTACTAAACCATTTGCTTCGGCATCATCAACAGGATAACTGGTATTTTGTTAAATTGTATTACCAAATTTAATAGTTAAATTTCCATAAAAACATTGAATATAAATAAAATTTAGATTGTACGAAAATGTTGTAATGATTATTAATAGATTTTTAAAATTTTTCTATATAGAATAGCTTAATTTTATTTCTTTATATTGCAAACTACAAATATAGTAAATACTGTATGCTTTATTTCAATATGGATTTTATTTCTTTCAACAATAAAAAAGCATAGTTAAATCATTGACTAACAATTTATTCTCGTACAATATGAAATAGTAAGTAAATGTAATAATCCATAACTTTATAATCTGATCTTATATTTTGGTTTATATGCAATAATTCTAACATTATGCTCTTTCAAAAATTTTTCAAAATTTTTACGTACATTATTATAACTATCCCAATACTTGTCATTTCTACCTAATCCCAATTTAAATAGAGAATTTTCATTTTTTATGTAATTCAACAGAACTTTAGATTTCATAATTGTTCCTTCATTTTCAGTTTGAAATAATTGTAAAGTAACTAATTTTAAATATTTAAGATATGATAGAACCATTTCAATGCTTTCTCTAGAAGTTTTGGAAATTGATAATGAATAAATATTTGGGCAAGATTCTGCCAAAGCAGTTAAAGTATCATCATTAATTGCTTGCTTAATATTATTTTCTCCAATTGTCAAAGAAGTTAAACTCTTTCCTGCTTTTTTAATAATCAAAATAGTTACTTCAGATGGCCAATCATTATAACTTAAATCCAATACTTTAAGATTTTTAAATGAAGTATATAAATCCATCTCATTAGATTTTAACCCTTTGTTAGATCTTAATACTAATAATTTTAAATTAATACACTTATCAATAATATCAAATGATATGTCGCTAAAATCTACTTCAATTATTATCACCTTAGTTAAATTATTAGCTTGAAATTCTAATGTGCTTATGATAAGATTTTTATACTCATAATTTTTTTTCATATGATTAAGAATGAATTCATCTAGATCATTTTGTAATTCAATAAAAGAAATCAATTCTTTTTTAGCAATTTCATCATCACACATATTTTCTATTATTAAACTTGAAATATTTTTACTGTGATTTTTTAAATAACCAAAAATATTTTGGTTCTCATTACCATATTTACTATAATGTACTACAAAATATTTCAAATCCTTAATTTTATCTTGCATAATTTTTAATAAATCTTCATTCACATAACTTACATTCAATTCCAAGCAATCTAATGTTTGACATTGTCTCATAATTGATTTCATGATATATTTTTCATAATCTATATCATAATCTCGTCGTCGATTCTTTAGTCGAATACACCATAATTTTATTGCATCCTTTATTTCTTCAAGCTTAAAAACTTTTAAATATTTTCCATATTGAAAATGAAGTTGTTTTTCTCGTTCATTATTAAATTTAAAGGATTTATCAAGGGTTTCTTTGATTTCATTCTGTTCCTCTTCATTAAAAAGTTTAATATAAGTTTGTATGATTGAATAACTACCGACCTTATATCTAAATGGATTACTCCAAAGAACTGATACAGCGATTTCACAGAAAAATTTATTTGCAAAAAGGAAGTTGAATAAACTACCTCTATTATCTTTTAACTCCCTGACAATCTCAAGAAGAATGTCTGAATTTAAATTAGGTAAAGACATAGATAAAGACATTTTTAGAGGTAGAATGAAGAAGAGAGGGAGATTTACGTTGACATATATCTGTACGTTGATAATCAGAAATTTTTAGTGATTCACTATGACGGTTATAATATTAAAAAAAGTCAATTACTTATATTCTGCGGTTATTTGACCATTTAAAGGATTTGTTGTCCTTATTTCATAATCATTTGTTATTTTATTTTGGTTGTTTGACATCTTATTACATGGTTTGTATCAAATAACAGGTCATATGTCATTTGAGAAGTGGTCATTTATTGTAACTGAACACATTAGTATTATCAGATCTGCAATCTGGAACTTGCTATTAGACTAAAACTAATTATGATTAATAACAAGTAAAAATTTAACATAACAGGGTGCTTCTGACTAATAATTATAATCAAAAAATATAATTTGCAAATTACTTTATTAATTTCTTTGCAGAAATCTGTGCTTTGTTACTATGCAGTTAAGTAATCATCATCAAAACATGTTTTTTTTTAATTATTCATTAATTTTCAAAAAAAAAGCAGATTTAAGATCAAGCAATTGCATTTCTTAAACTGTGGCTGTGATTCGTCAAGACTCTATCTCCTGTAGATGATATCCTCATTTATTATTATTATTATATTTACTTATACATTACATATATTTTTAAATAAAAGCTTTATAATGTTTATATAAAAAAAATAATAATGTAATTAATTATAAAAAAAAAAAAAATTTATTTCAAAACTACAATAAATATGACCCTAAATAAACTAATAAAAAAAATTTTAATTTGAATAATTTGTCAAATAATTCTTCAATTTTTTTTCCAATTCGTAACAGTTGCTTAAATTATATTGATATAGAGTAGTGTTTCTTAATTTTCATTTTCTGCTGCATTGTTATATTTTTCTCTTAAATCTTTTCAACCTTAACCAAGTTATTCCTCCTGAACTTTGCGATAGAAAAGTAAAATGTAAAATAAAATAATAACTCTACCCACTAAATTTTATATAGAACTATTTCAAATATAGAAAAAGAGAAAGAAAATTTAATTTGTTTTAAACTCCTAACAAAACATTACCATTGAATTTAACTAATAAGCAGTCCCTCTCGTTTGAATTTTGTTCATAAATAAGAAAAAAAGAAAATACATTACTTTATTGTAAAACAAATATTTACACAAAACTTATATCTAAATTTCAAATAAAGCATTTCTTAGAAAAGAAAGTATATTATCTGTATTATCTGTTTAGTATGCTAAGAAACCGCTACTCTCATAAAATGAAGAAACTGTTACAAAAAAAAAAAATTTTTTTTATTTTGAAATTTTTGTTATAGTAGTTTTTTTAGAGAAAGAAGTATTGAAACTTCTACCGCAATTTCAAAACAAAAAAAATTTTAAATATAAAATTCACAAAGCAAGAAAAAAAGTTTAAACCATAATATAAAGATTCTTTCTTTTGGTACGAATCCGACGTTTATACCGTCCTCTTTTTTTCTAGTTCACATGATGCAGATGAAGCAATAACAACTGGTGCTTCGATCCGTCTCTAGTCCATCCGGATGAATCCGGATGAATCTGGATTTTTTTTTCATCTGGATATCCGGTTTTGATCTGGATTTTGATCCGGATGAAAAATATCTGGATTCATCCAGAATCCGGATAGAAAAAAAAAATTTTTTCTAATATTTTTTATAGATTTTGTAATAAATAAATAGTCTATTAGTTTCGCAACTGATAAATAATTTTGTAATATATAAATTTTGTCATGAACAACGATAAATTGATGATTAGTAAAAAATTATTTATTTATTATTAATTTATTTAATATAATTAAAGTGAAAATTATTTTTACATTTTTATTAATCTTATTAAGTAAAATCATAATTTAAGAAGCGATATTGTTTTTTAAGCCTGATTTTATCAAAATTTGAATAAAATTTGTAACTCAAGCCAAATTAATAGTGCCGGCCCAAATTACGATAAAATAAGCTAATTCAAATTCAATAATCGAATCGGAAAAAAGGCTACAAAATTTAAAAAAACCTACCAAATTGTATTAATAAGTACCATTATCTCTAATATATGCAATCTAAAAAATTTTATATATGAAATCTGATCCGGATTCCGGATTTCACTCGGATTTCTGACCCGGATTTCAATCTGGATCAAACCGGATATAATCCGGATTTTTTTTTTGTGTAATCCGGATGACGGATTTCATCCGGATCGAAGCACTAATAACAACAGTTATTATTATCATTATTATTTTCATTTATTTTTTTTTTTATTTTGTTATTTTATTTTTGATTTTTTTTTTTATGAGACAGTTTTGCAAGATACGAAATATATTCTGAACTTTATAATAAGACCAGAACTTCCTTTGCAGATTCCAAATTATTAATCAATAATAAATCATAATAATTCATTAAAATGGATGTTGAAATGAAAAGAAAAAAATATTTTATTTGAGAACATGATTCTAGAAGTTTAAATAATATACAAACTTTTCACATTATGTATGCACATATATTAAAAAATTTTAATTTTTATCGGCGTATATACCACAATAATTTTCCGTTTTCGAGTTTTTAGAGCGATTCAAGTAAGAATGGTCGAGATGATTCTCTTTTTAATATTAAGCTTTATAAAGTCAAAGTCACAATAACAATATGATTACTATTAAATATTATGAGAAAATCCGTAATATGTTTATATCTCTTCATGTAATAAATTTTTTATTGAGAATCGAATGACTATCAAAATGCAAAAAAATATCAAATGTGAATATACTCCGTATTTTAATATCTAGTCATGTAGATAAATGAATTGGTTTTAATTAACTTATTTATTTATTTTATTACAAAATTTTTTCGGTCCTAGTAATTGGGACTTTTAGGAAATCATTTCCATAAACTAAAAAAAAAAAATAACTAAATTTCTAATGGAATCATTATAAATCAAGATTCTACTTTTGATGAAAAAAATCTCTCAAAAAATTTGTTGTGTGTCAAATAATATGAATATAATAAATTAAAATAATAAATAGACATATATCATAATAGGAACTAGAGAAACTGATTTAATTGGTTCACATCTTCAACATACTGGGATAATAGCCAAATAAACAATTAACAAGATGTTTCGTCAAATTCCCAATGATCAACATTGCCATGTATATGGAAACAGGTATTTCCATTATAAGGTCCTCGTTTTTTCGTTTTCTCGAAACTAGCTTCAACTTTAGCATAAACCGTGTATGTTTGATCTGAGAAATTAAGGGTTTCATGATAATTTGAGCCATAGGAATTGTAACTACAATCATGGTAGTTTTTGTCACCAGCTATGCGATTACCATTTGAATCCTCTACCCAAATTCTACAACTGCAAAGAATCAAATCCAAATTTGTGTCAGAATTATATGCTATACATTAAACCAAATAGCCGAATTATTAGAAAGGAGAATGGAGAACATACTGAATGTAAGAACTTTACCTTTGATGTCCATTATATAGAAACACATGAAAATGAAAGTAAGAAGGTAAAAGCTTTGAAGTTTCATATTGATGGTCTTATAACTCTTTTCAGTTGGTTGATGAACCTGGAGGAGCAGTAGTTTGGGTAGTTGTAGTAAAACGGAAGTTGAATGTTTTAATGCTTCAATTTGGGAGTTTAAAGTTTCAATCTATGCTTCTTTTTCTAAGTTTAAGTGGCGGGTTTAACTGACTAGTTAAGTTAGCGGTGCTAGATTTATGATGCTATTTGTTATTTTATGATGATGATTCTGTAAAAACAAAATTTTGGTGGCCGTGGTAAAGTTATATATATTTTCAAACTTAGATTTTCAATGATTTTCCGCCAAGATATCTTGGCTTGATTTGTTCGTTTAAATCAGCCTATAATTGACAAAAAAATTCGCACATCCCGCCCGATATCTGATATAGCGTTAATTTTTTAAAAAATATATTTATCCATTCTATTTCGTTCTATTTCTTTTTTATTCTATTTTATTTTATTCATTTTGTGTTTATTATTAGTATTTATTATTAGGTTTTTTATTTTTTTTTTGGGATGAATAAAAGAAATGCAATAAATTCCGTGATATAAGATTATTAATTCCGGAAATTTGAGTCTTTTACGGAAAAAAGATGGAATGTAAAAAATGGATCACTTTTTCCCTTTATCTATTAAAGCGTTTCTTATTATTGCTATTTCGCTTAATTATTTATGAATTTTACTATCAAAATTTTTTTATACTCATTTAAATGGATTTAGTTTTACGATACTATGGTCAGATTTTACCGACATGAAAATTACTTTATAGTTCCTTACTGCATTTTAATTTTAAATTATTTGATTACGATTAAGAAACATTCACAAATATGCATATTTCATTTAGCGATTTCGAAGGTAGTTTTTTTTTGTGAATAGTTAGTTTCCTAAGACTTTTCTCCATTTAGATCTGAGAAATGTTTTCGTAAAAACATATATTAGCTCTATTTTTCGTCTTCTTTTATGCTTTGATTACAAACTATGAAATAAAATGACCGTGACCTTGTCATTGTTAAGCATTTGTTGAGCTGCGGTGTATATTAGGTGTTACAAAAGAAATATCAAATGAAAATAGAAAAATTAATTCTTTATATAAAACGGAGAATACAATTGACATGTTACAACAGGTTACGGTACATTTCGCCGAACCATTTCGCCGAATCGTCCATTTTACTGAATTCCATTTCACCGAAGCGAATTCAGTGAAATGGGTTTCAGAGAAACATCCCTTTGGGAAATGTCCCTTCAGGGGAAACATCCCTTCGACGAAATGGCTTCGGCGAAACAGCTTTCGGTGAAATGTCCTTATACCGTTACAACACGATTTAAACAAAATACGGTTTACCTAACTGTCATACCATATCAACAAATGAAACTATAATCTGTTAACAAGCAAAATATAACACAACCGATATCATTATTACATTACGAAGAAATCACTTTTTTATTGATAACCAGATTTTCATCCGTAATATTATGGCAAGCCGTTCAAGTCAAAAGTCCGCTGCTATTGCGGCAGGTACCTGCTAGATTTGCGGCAGGTATCTGCTGGATTCACGGCAGGTACCTGCTAGAATTGCAGCAGATACCTGCTAGAATTGCGGCAGGTACCTGATAGATTTGCGGCAGGTATCTGCTAGATTTGTGGCAGGTACCTGCTGAACTTGCAGCAGGTACCTGACAGGTTACAAATATGGTATTTTATTTTTTCTGGGTCAAAAAAATTTTTTTGATTTCCATTTATAGTAATCTACCGAATTATTGGATCCAAGTTAGTTTATTTCTTTTTTCAGAAGTGATTTTCATCTCATAATTCTGCCCATCACTATAAATTTGGCTAGAATTAATCGTATAATCAATACTAAAATCTTTAATAGTTTTAATTTATATTGTAAATTCAAAGTATTTTTTAAAATAAGGTTTAATGTAAAAAATAACTTGAAACTCAACTTTTAAGTATAAAAAAATTATAAATGAAAGAATTAATACTAATAAATTATTATAAAATTTTTAAATTCAAATGAGCAATATAAAAATCAATTTAAATAATTTTAAAATTTACAATTTGATTAAATGATTAGTATAACAAAATACACTACCAGAATATTATTATTTATATACCCAATTTAACTATATTGGTTTAAATTTATTGATGCCACTATCATTAATATTATTCTTTTAATTTTAAACCAATATCACAAAAACTTTCTTATATGTGGATTATGGCTGGAA